AGTAGTAGTAGTAGTAGTAGTAGTAGTAGTAGTAGTAGTAGACTATGGTTATTAGTATTACTGTAACTATTGTTTGTCTTCATATTCTTCTTAGCTCTTCGGGGAGGGGTCATGCTTTTTGACAAATGAGCAGGGACGGGACGGCATAGACACTAGGCGGCAGCCTCTTTCTATCTCTTTCTGTTTGACCTCAATGCACCAGACCTAAAGACTCCACAAGACGCCAAGCCCTTGCAACCCTCCAGCCTGTGCAAAACACAACCTCAAATCCAAGCCAGGGGCCGGGTCAATGTAGACGTAGAAACTAGAGTTCCGCACCGGGTCTTGTGGGTCGACCCATGGCGTGACGGCCTGCAGCGGAGGTCTTGCTTGGCCACCCTTCGAGTGCAAACTTTCGGCATCTTGGAACGGTTTCAGATCAACGGTAAGAACCCTTACAACAATAATAAATCGTAACAATGACCAAACAATAATAATGAGATCAACAACAATAATACTACACATACCAACAATAATTATAGGCTGCTCCCTTCTCAGTCGGCGTTGACTTCCTCAACCCCGCGCCTCGACCTTCAGCTGTGGCGGCCCAGGCTCCTTTGCTGCAAGTACGTCTGATCAGCATAACCCTCCTTCCTGATGCCTCGAGTGCGCTCAAGCTTCCAGCAGTCTAGTCTAGATGATTTGTGGCCTTGTAGTCTTGCAAATCTTTTGCATTAACCAGCCAGGACAAAGATATGTCTAAAACGCACCTAAGCGAAGTTTTGGAAGGACTTCACGTGCACTTTTCCCCCCGGCCATGTCCCTGAAGCCCAGGCTCGCCGCAGCTCTCCAAACTGTCTCCAAGCTGGGCGGTGTAGGTCGCCTGGCAGCTAAGCGCAGTGATTCTCGAGATTCCCTTTTAAAGTGCCCGTTTGCGTTGAAAGCCATGCAGGCCCGCCACAAGCCTCGGGCCCTGAATCCCAAAGAAGATGTAGTGCGTCTTCACGGCTTATGGCTGTTCTCGGAGGGCTTTTGATGTCGGGCAAGACTCGTTGTACCTCCCTCCGTTGAGCGTGTGAGTGAGTGAGTGCAACTCACAAGCCCCAAGGGTCCAAGTACGAATAATCATATACTCTCCAAAACCCTAACCTACATAACTACCATCCTAGAATCGAGCATCTAATTATCGGGTCCTTTGGACCCTTAAAACCCTAATATAAAATCCTCTAAACCCCTTATAGAACCCTTTAAAGGAACCCTACTAACCCTTTAAAGGGACCCGAATTATGGTGTTACCAGATCCTTGGGGAAGCCTGGTGCGGCAGGAAGAAGCCAGGAGTGGCAGGGACCGAGAACTCGCCGAGGCCCTGGTGGCGACAAACCCGGCGGCCGCAATCAGAGTTCACGGGCCTGCCACACAGGCGAACGTCAGACTTGCAAGAGCTCGAGGTTGAGCAAGCAGTGCTTCGTATCATCTATTATGACCTGATCTCTATAATTATTCGTATTATTCTTCTCCTTATGTTCGTTCTTCTTCCTGTTATTTTTGCTAAGGTGGCCTGAAGTCTCGTGTCGGCTCCGTAGCGAGGGCTTCCTGGAGCTGTGACTCGGGCCGGAAGGCCCCGGCGCCGGCCATTGCGCAAGCAAGGCCGGCGGCAACACGAAGCACCATTCCATGGAGAGGGAAGAAGGCGGCAAAATGCCCAAGCATCCTTCCCCTGTGAAACGCATTGAATTCCTCAGGCCACCTTTCAGCCTTCCATGTTTTGAGCCCAGAAGGCTTCAAGGAATACATTTGCTTCTGAGAGTGCATGCTATGCTTGCATACATATAAGCACATGTAAACACATGTATCTTTACGGAACTCGGCATGCAGGAAAGGTCATCCAACAGGAATGGCTAATTGAAGCCGAACGACATCCATGAGATCCATCCCTTCTCCATCCGCACACTCCCGTGATTCCTGCAAGAGCAAGGTTTAGGGTGTTTGTTAAGGGTAGGCTTCAGGCTTTGGGGAAACCCTAGACACTGAAACTCGCGGAGTTGAGGATTGAGGCTTTATGGTCCCTTAGTCTGGCACTCAATGACTCAAGCCAAGCCGGAAATTGAACGAACAAAATCGAACCCAAAACCGTCAAACTAAAGCTTCAGCTGGCCACTGACCTGAAACCCAAAGCCTTTGAGGTCTAACACGGAAAGCTACCCACAAATCCTAAACCCTAAACCCCTAAATCCTAAACGGCCCTTTGAATCTCAAAGCCTGAAGCCGAACTCATCACTTTCTGGATGACGTGCCAGGGCTCACAATGACAAACCCCTCAAGCAATGTAGCGTAGGATGTTGTAATATACCATTGCATGATCAATATGTTCAAGTACGGTCGAATAGCACAATGTATCAGATCATGAAATATGAAACACAAGACTAAAGCATAACCAATATCAATAGTATCATATCGTATCCTAGAATGGCACCAGGGCAATGATCGATTCTCCTATGTTGTGGTTTGGGGTGTATAGGGTTTCAGTACGGGGGACACCCGCAGTTGGTTTAGAGGTGCCGGGAGTTAGGATTTAGGATCGATCGTGCAAGTGTAAGGTCCAGGGTTGATGGGGCTTAAGGTATTGTAAGACTTGAGTGGTTGAGTGTTTAGTGCTCTTGCAAATTGCGATGGTAACAGATTGTAAAGGTACCCTTGAAGCAAGAATCGTTGGACACTTTCTTCTAGTGAGATCAAAGCCACAAAAGCAACCTGGTCTATGGATCTTTTTCGGACATATGTCCGTAAGACATGCTACGTGCCTAAGCTTTGGCCAGAAGAAGGTGTCGGAACTCCTATGTCCGTTGTCAAGGAGGATCTCGGAGATACAACTTGTCTGTCTAAGTCTAGCTGTCGACTTTATAGGCTCGCTGGAGGTTGGAGCGCTGGATTCTCGTGTGCTGTCATATAGCTTCGGGTGTAGTGCTTCAGACGTAGGGCTGAAGGTGTAGATGTCTTGTGCTCGAAGCCCCAGATAATTCGTGAACAGGGACGAGAGTGTTATATACTGATTGGTCAGACCCCACAGTATTGTTGTTCATTACTGCGTTTTAAAAACCGTCGCAAACAAGCCCACACCCTCGGATATCCTGGCGACATCGCGCCTTGGTTGGCTGTGTAATACCGGTGCGTGAACTGTGTGTCTTCAAACACGCAAGCAATAAACCATATATATATATATATATACATATACATACATACATATATATATATATATACGTAAATATATATATGTATATATATATATATATGTAATCACACATCCCTAAACTCTCCACCCTATGAAAGCCTAAAGCCCTATATAAGCACTAAACGGCGGTCTAAGGCATGATGAAGCTTTCCGGCTTGGGTGAGATGCAACGGGTCACCTCTCCGTCTCAGGGTCGGAGTTGCGTTTATAGGGTGTTGTTTGGGGCGTTAGCGTGTTTTGTAGTGTTTGAGTAAGAGTTTGCTAGTCTTTAGAATTTTAAAGGAATTTCCTGTGGGCGTTGTAGAGATGTACCAGGGCTTCATCAGGTTTACATGGGCTTAGCTTTCGGTTGTTTCCCAAAGGCGCCATGTACCTTTATAGGAGATACCTGGGCCTTAAAGGCGTCCCTACATTGCCCTACATAGGTACTTTAAGGCCTAGTTATATACTAGATGGGTACATGGAGCCTTAGGGTTCGAGGGTGTTGATGGGATATACACGGCACGTCTCTGGTTGGTTGGCTTTTGTAACCCTAGCAAGAGGTTCGACCCTAAAGCCTGAAACCTATGGATGCTGCTGCCTGCTGCACCCTGGCTCTTGCCCAGCTCTAGTGGGTCTTCCGAATGTTCCATCCAACACCCTCAACTAGGGTTTAGGGTTTAGGGCCAACATCAACTGCTGGGTTTTTTGCATGAGTGCCTTTGGGATTTGGGTTTCGAGTTTAGGAAATGCAGGGTTTATAACGGCAAGGATTGTGTTCTCGGGCTTCTAGTACCCAGGTTCCCTACCGGCTTAAGTAATTAACCACCTGCCACTGTAGCCGACAAGACCACAGCACCACCATGCCAGAAGGTATTTGCAGATATGTGATCTTCGGGCAGTCCCTCATCCAAAACAAAGTCTGCAAGCCTAGGCTCAGCTTGTTCATGCTCTTGGTCTCAGTCTCCGCTTTTACCTTGGAAGGCCAGGACAACTGCCTTTAAAGCACCTTTATCCTCAAACCTTGCGTTGAATGACGCGTGAATCCTGCACATGCAAGCCCGTAAACCCTAAACGGCCGCCCGGAACCCTAAATTGAAGCACTTTAGTGAAATGAAGCACTTTAGTGAACCTCGAGGCAACAGGCCGAAAAGGCAAGCTCAAACTCCCGACATGTATCACAACCTGAGAAACCTTAAAGACAGAATGAACCCTGAAAGGGCCTAAGGTCCATATACCGCGCAGTTTAGGGTATAGGGTCCCTAAGTTTAAGGGTCATGTGGTCCTTAAGCAACAGGGAATAAAACAAAGCTGAACGCCGCGGTTTAGGATTAGGGTCCAGAGATTTGGCGTGTAAGCAAGAATCCGAAGACCTCAGAAAGCATGATCCCTTGGAGGTCGAGTACCCCAGCCCCCCAAACAAGCTAACTTTTTGAAAGGAAGATATATACACCTTTCGAGATAGCTACAGCTGAGATATACAATCCTCAGAAGATTAAAGGTTGAACCTTAGCTACGGCTTTACCGCCCAAGCACCTCAGACCATGTGTCCTCATATCAGAGTCAGGGCCCTAAAACCGCCACCTGATCCGAGGGGGATTGGGTTTGGTTCAGGTACGTAGCCCAAAGGGTCCAAGTAATGGTAGAGAATATGCTTTTGGGGCCCAGATATCTACTAAGCACTTAGTACTAACTAATGGCACTTTGGGCCTTTGGGTAGAGATATATACGCCTTGCAAAATCCTGGGGAGTGACTATGTAATTGTATGATGACTGGATTCTTAGATATGTGGGATTTTTGGATGGCACTAACTATGTCACCCTTTGCGACCAGTCAACTAAGGTGATCATAGCCAGTTTGAACCAAGCGGCAACGTCTGAACTTCCGAGTGTGACGTTGACCCAGTATCCCAGAAAGGGGCCCTCCTTGCCGCCACGCTCGTACATATTCCAGAGTGAGCCCAGCACCGAAAAGGAGTACCGGGCTTGCTTCCTTAGTCGGGCAGCCTGCCTCTAGAAACCCTAAACCCTCAGTCCTAACCAAGCTTTATGGCCAGGATCCGATAAGAAAACACTAGATAGCACCAAGAAAACCGAGAGAGACGAAAGGTATATAGTAGAGCTTAGTGCGCTCTAAGGCCTCCACCTACGTAACGCAAAATCCTAAATTCAAATTGGGCAAAAGGACCGTTAGGTGCCAGGTTACCAATCTCGGATAGGGCAGTCCAAGTTTCCGACCCACGACCACCACGGTGTGGTTGTCGATGACTGGTTGCAGATCGTCGTCGAGGGCAGAAGCCTTCGAATTATGGCAACGCCTGTGTGTCCCTGCCTCTTTGAGGTTCAGCTTTAGAACCAACAGGACAATGACATGTTTACCGAGTCTTTGTAGTTGTCTCTTCAAGAAGCAAGTCCTGAGAGCATTAAACGCGCAGGGCAGTCGAACATTCCGACAGCCCCGTCCTCTGCTTTTAAAGATGTCCGAGCATGAAAATTGTCAGACCAAGTTTGAACTTCTTCCATAGAACCAAACCCCAGCCCAAGAACAACAAAACGCAGACCCTAAACCCCAAAGCCCTTGCAAAACACGGTCAAAGTCCTCAAACGCACTCTTAAGACCCTGGACGAACCCTTACAAATCCCGGCCATACAGAGTACATGTGAAACCATCAGACAAACTGTTAGCCCTACGAAACCTCTGCTAAACCCCTCAGAAAACCTGAAAACCTCAACCATTGTATAACCTGAAACCGTAGACTATCCTAAACCCTAAAGCCGAAAACCCGAAATACGGGCCCTGCCTTCCTTTTGCCCCAGCCCTGCAGCAGACCGAACAGCTCTTCCTGCCTTGGCAACACAAGGATTCACAATCAAGACTTGCGTACGGGGTGTTCAGGTGTTGGGGTTCAGCGTCCTATAGGGCATGAGCAGGGTTCAGTATGGGTTATTGTGGATTCTGGGACGGCTCTGGAAGCGCTTGAAAAGGGTTGTTTGACGGCCGGCTAGTGGTGAAACCACAACGATGCCCACATGCAAGCGCGGCTTGCACTGTCTGCGCTGGTCACGCAATGCTGCCTGCGTACCCTAAGCCCTAAACAGTGCACAGTATGAACAACATCCTGAGCCCCAGATCGCCACCCAAATCTTCCCAAATCTTTTAATTTAGGAACATATCTTAGCCTACTTGGAGGATCATGGGACTTAGTAGCTATATAGGGTTAGAAATACGGGAACTATGCTTGCATACTTGTCTTTAAGTCTAACCCCAGTGAAGGTGCTTAGAAGTCCCATGATCTTGGTTAGGACTGAGGGCTTAGGGTTTAGGGTTTCTAAACCCTAAACCCGGAAGCTTCCAGGGACCTTATTGTGTTGACTCCTTAACGGGCCTGGGGCCCGTACCTTGAGGTCCTTGGAAGCATTGGGTTAAACATGACTAATCCATCAATTTCGAACACATACTAGGATCCCTAACCTGACTTGAAGCTCATATATACCAGGGACCCTACTACATCTTCTAGATATTACGGCATATTCCTTAATTAAGGGATGTCGGAAGGTCTGGGCACCCAGGAAACCCGCAGGTGCAGTGCATGCGGCCAGAGGCAGGCTGGCATGCAGCCAAGCTTCTCAACGCACAAGAACGGTGAGCTCAGGACCTTACTCAAGGGTTTAGGGCAGAACTTGCCTCATCCACCCGCTGATTAAGAAACGTACCACGGATCATAACGTTAAGGCCCCATAGTTTAAGGAATATTCCTTAACTGACACGTAATTATGGGGCTCTCTGGGGAGGACGGAAGGTCGACCAGCGCTTATGCTGAACAACACGGAAAACAAAACCGTAGCCACAAACAACCGGTGGCTTAAGTGATCCCTCAACCTGAAACCCTAGACAGATCCACCCTAAACTCTTTTACCCAAAACTTGAGCCCTGAACCTGAAATCGCCACAAACCGTTCGCACCCTACACCCTGAAAACAGGGCCCTACAATCCTCATCACCACAGAATCCGCCTCGTCCAAGAGCCGTGGACTTATCGCAGGGCGAAGTCGGAGAGCTTCCTCTCATGATGAGGGCTTACTTGCATGGTCGGGGGACTCAGTAAGCAGCTATTCTGTAAACTTATAAGTATCATAACACCAATTGGAGCCCCTTCTTAGAGTACTTGTAAGTCTACTTTTTACCTACTTACTAAGTCCCCCGACCCTCCAAGTAGGGTGTAGGGTGCGTTTCAGGGCTTGGGATTTACGAGGCGGGGTGCCTTTATGGGCAGTTCTCCAAATTGGGATCAATTTAAAGGTTGCCTTTTTCTAGGGGTTCCGTACGATTTGGGGGGATCGAATAAGGGACGCTAACATAGAGAACTCCGGCCGCATTAAAGCGAAGAACTCTAAACTGGCTTTGCGCAGAAGTCATATTATTATTCAGTCCTTTGTAAAGTTTTCATACTCATACATCAAACAGCTACAAGCACCCAGCGAAAGAGGAATGCTCGCATCAGTGCCATGGGGTCCCCAAACCCTAAACCTTCACCCTCCAACCTAAAACCCTACACCCTCAACCTTAATCTAAATTTGCAACCCCAAACCTTCAACCCTAAACCCAATCCCTCAATTTAGCGCTTTACACCTTGAACCCTTAAACCGAAAGCCCTTAACTAAGCCCTGTACTCCTTCGGCCTTCAACGATAATCCCTAAGCCTAAAACCCTAGAACCCTAAACCCCTATCTCTCAACCCTAAAACCCTAGAGCCCTAAACCCTAAACCCTTAGATCCCTAAACCCCAAATCCCTAAACAACCCTGGGGGTGCCTTGGGGTGAATCAGGATCTTCTCCAGGGCCTGGAGTCGCAAATCCTCCGTTGATGAAATCGTCAGGCAAATGGGTCCTTTAGAAGGGCTCCTTTAAGGGTTCCTTACGGTTCCTTGAAGCGGGTCCTTTAAGGGGGTTTAGGTTTTCTTTAACGGGTTCCTATAAGAGTCCTGTAAGGGTTTGTGGTATACCCTCTCAGTTCATAAGCCCCCTCAAAATTTCAGTTCTGTCGGGTTTAGGCTTATTTGGGGTTTGGGTCTAGGGTTTAGGCTTAGAGTTGTTTAGGAGCTTAGCGTTTCAGGTATCTTATAGCAAAAAATGCATACAAAACATACTCACTCAGCTACTGAGGATCAGCATTCTGACATCGATCGGCCAGCTGCAGCAGCTCGCACGCAGTGTCTGGCCTGTCTCACAGGCTGACAATCATCGAGCGCTACATAGGGGCCCTATTGATATGTGGATATGCACATGAATAAAAAAAATTCGACACAAAGCCATGCAAAACCAGGAATCCCCTAAACCCTAAACCCCTTATCCCACAAACCCCAAACCCTAAACTCCTAACCCCTATAAACCCCAAAAAGGAACCCTTAAGCCCTATAGTACCCTGTAGAAGCCTTAAGATCCCTGAAAGGACCCTTTAAAGGAAATCTTAGGAACTTTTAAGAGGAACCCCGGAAACCGCGGCCTGAGCTGCTTTTGGACGGCTTGCTTGCACAGGCTCTGCAGCTTGTCCACCTCCGCAGCGGCCGATTCCGTACTAGTAATATTTACTACCCGAAGGGTCCAAGTATCATCATGGTATATACTTAGACCCCCAAAATGCCCTATAAGTATATACCAGAATGATACTTGGACCCTTTGGGCTAGGGTTCCTTTAAAGGGGTCCTTTTAAAGGGTACTATAAGGTACCATAATATACTAGGATGCCCAGTAGGCTAGGAATATAAAGGGCTCCCTCTTTTGTATTGGGTAACTTTATAGGGAACTTAGGACTACAAAAAGGAATAAGGGTACTACTGGGCATCCTAGTTACTGGGGTTAGAGGCAGCTTGTAAGGTTGAGGGTTTAGGGTTCAGGGTCCGGTTTTGCAGAGTTTACCGCGCTTACAGGGTTAGGGTAGTTTAGGGTTTAGGGTGTCTGTAGGGTTGAGGTGTGGGTTAGACAAGCCGTGTTCTTTTAAGTCAGGGTTGGCGGATTCTGGCAGGAAAAGCTTCAGTGATTCAGGGGCTTGTCGCTCGACTCTCACGACGGCTATCGCTCGTGCGCTCGGCACGGCGTCTGTGTCGGGAATCCATATCCTGCTTGTTCCACGAACTCAACGAACATCCGCATCCGGAAAAGCATCCGCCCGTGGCTGCCTCACTTTGTCTCCGTCTCCCTCTGTGTCGCGTTCTTTTTGTTGACCCCTACCTCGCTGCATCCCGGTTGTGCGAGCCGCCAGGGGGTCCGGACCTAAGGCCCCCAGCCGGAGGAAGCCAGGCTCTTCCCCGCTCCTTCTGGCCTGTTTGCATCCGACTTCATCAGCATGGCCAGGTCAATCAAGCTGCCGCCGCTACACCCTAAACCCCAAACCCAAAGCTCTAAATCGTAAACCCTAAACCTAAAACCCCAAACCCGAAGCTCTAAATCGTGAGAGCAGTCTCGCCCAATGCACGAGAGTCCCTGGCTCGGCCAGGTATCAGATCCGAACTACCTAAACCAACCTTGTAAACTCTAAATATCCTAAACTCTAAGCCCTAAACCCTCAACCGCTACTGCCGGTCTTGGGCAGATTCGCCCAAACAGCCTCAGCTGTGGAGCTTTACCGGGTTCGGGCGTGCGCATCCTCTGGAGCCAAAGATTTAGGGTTTAGGGTTTAGGGTTGCGTGACACCCCGTCTTCTTTGATTGCAAAAGGCTCTCGATGTTCTGAGATTTAGGTTGGGTACGGGGTAGTTGTAAGGTGTGCAGGCTTGGGCCCGGTTGGGAGCTGCATTTATCGGTATGTACAAACCTATGTATGCAAGACAAGACTTGTATACCTACCCTTTGCACTGGTTTCTATATCTGTATATATATATATATATACACACACATGCATATATGCAGAAATGGTAGCTCCCCCTATGGATCTTCACCCCTCTCTTTCACTTCAGGAGCACATTTTGGAAGGCTTTGGGCGATGAGGAGGGATCGCCAAGGCTCGGTTTAACTGTCAAGCAGACGCTGGAACAGAGTGTAAGCTCGTACAATAAGTTAAGTGGAAAATAACTGACACAAACTTAGCTGAAAAGCCTGTGCAACAAAGAAACACACACAGACACATGAAACCAAACTCTGGAAGTCTTCCTCGGATCACTTCCGACCCCGAGCCCAATCCATCCAGCCTCAACCCTCTAAGCCCAAAAGCCTCAAGCCCTATCCCCTAAATCCAAACCCCCACATACCACTGGCCCTGAAGCCCTAAAGCTTCGACCGCCTAGCTCCTCAAACCCAGTGCCCCGAAGCCCACAACCCAGAGCTTTGGGAGGATCTAGAAAGTAGAACCTCGAAATTGAAACCTGTTTTGGACCCTCCGTCTATGCTCCCCTAAATACCCTGTATGTGACACCATATGCCCCCGCAAGGAGGGTCCTGGTATACTAGTAAACGGAACGGTGTTGGAACCCCCTTAACGGATCTACTTTGTTGGATCCTCCCGGCTGTCTCTGAACAGGCGGCCTGGTATTTGTCCGCCAACATACCCACCTCTCATCTTTTAGGCTGCAGGGCTTTGGGTCTGGGATTCAGAGTGCAGAGTGAGAGTTCGGGGTTTAGGGCTCAAGGTTTGGGTTCCGGGTTTCAGGTCCAGGGTTTAGGGCTTTAGGTTTAGGGTTCTGGGCTTAGGTTGTACAGCTCAAGATGAAGCGATGCCATGTCTTGTTTTAATTCGTAGCGAGTTTCGGGCAGTGACACTCTAAGACTCTCGCTGGCTGTCAGTGCCAGCGGCGGTTATCATGGTCAAGTACTGTAAGGCCGTAATAATTAGAATAGGGTTCTGGGAGCTCCTTTATAGTTATGGCATAACATACCTCCAAACCTTACTCTAATTACAAAAAAAACCCTACATTAAATAGATCCAATCCTGCAATTCTGGGCTGATGCCGCGGCCAAGCCGCCGCAGGATGAACGGCTCAGGGTTTGGGATCGGGGTCAAAGGCAAACTGTGATGTCTGCACTGCACCAAAAAACCCGAAGCCCTGAACCCTACACCATTATACCGGAAGCCTACAAGCCCTTAGGGCTACAGTGAACAAAGGCCCAAATATTTTAGCGGCCGATAGACAACCCCAAGGGTCCAAGTACCTACTAATAACCATATTATACTTTCCAAAACCCTAACCTACATAACTGCTATCCTAAAACCGAGTGCCTAATTATTGGTCCTTTGGACCCTCAGGGTAATGAACCCAACTAACAAGACTCAGAAGCCCGCAGGACCCCTAGCCTAAACCTCAGACTTATAACTTACTAGGTTGTGGACGCGAAAAGCCACCAATGGCAAGATGAAGGTAGGGGAGGGGCCGCAGAAAATCCCGCCCAATATTGGATTTCGGAAGAGTTGCTTCCTTGGGGCTCTTTGTTAGGATATTGTATCATGCACCCCTAACCCTGATTCTATCGAATTCTAATTGGTAAGGCCCTCATGCTGCCTTTGCGCAATCCTCAATCGCCAAGTGCAATCCTCAATCGCCATGTTCATAAGCCACGGAAGATGTACAGTTTTGTAAAGTTTCATGGTTCGTTAGAAGGTCTCTTCAGGAGTCGTTCTAGGCTTCTCGAGAGTTTTGTGATATTCCATCGGGGTTTGAGAAAGTCTCAACAACTAAGAACTAAGCACCTCCACCGTTGTGGCGAGGCTGCCGCGCAGGACGCCGGAGTACAAAAAGCGGAGAAATGCCTGCGAATTCGTGAATTTCTGGTTGGGCTTCAGGTTTGGGTTCTGTGGCCAAATAGTGAACCCCAGAAAGTTGGGGAATATGGGCTTAGGATGAATAGTGCTGGTCGGGATTCTGTAAGGGTGATTGTTAAGCGTTCATTTGACGGGGCTGTAGGTTCGAAGGTGGTCAGGGCAACCGCGGGCGCAGCCCTAAACCCTAAACCCCGAAAGCCCTAAACCCCGAAACCCTAAACCCCCAAACCCTCAACCCCTAAACCCCTAAACCCCTAAACCCCTAAACCCTAAACCCCTATAAACCCTAAACCCCCCCTAAACCCCTAAACCCTATACCCCTAAACCCTAACCCCTAAACCCTACCGGGTGCTCAGGGCAACCGCGGGTGCACAGGGTTGCAGCGGCGTCGTTAGTTTCACACTTTCTGGCCAACCCTTGCAGACCGACTGACTGGCAAACCAAGCGGAGAGGGTTTAGGGTTTAGGGTTTAGGATTTAGGGTTTAGGGTTTTGATTTAGGGTTTAGGATTTAGGGTTTAGAATGTAGGGTTTAAGATTCAGGGTTGAGGGACTGGAAAACCAAGCGGAGACTAGTACGATTCGAGAGCCGGCTGCCCCCTAGACCTGAACCCTGCAGAATGAATGAACGTTGTATCTACTTGGGACCCTGTTACTTGGATGGAGCCGCTATTTCCTGAGGCTCTCTTGTAACCCATGGTGCCTCCACTGTTGTTGCCGAGAAATCCTGCCATGGGCCATCCCACGAGCTTCGGTGTCCGTCAAGGGTCACTGTAAGGGTTACCAGGCTCTGTAATTTAATATGAGGCCTCAATATCTGGATTTTGTCTTTGGGGTATATAATATAAGAACATGATTATCAGGGGTTGTGTGTTGATTTCGGATTTGCATTAGAGTTGGAGGTTTGGGATTCTTGCGCTGCACCTCTCTCTGCCTGTCCAATGATTGGGATTCGGCCTGTGAGTTTAGGGGCTGAGGCTTCACGAATAGACTTTGGGCTTAGCTTTGCGGTAATGTGACCGTCATGGAGGCCTTATGTTCTTGCGACGACCGCATTAAACCCCAAAGTTCATCTAGGTTCCATTTACACTTCGGGTTTGGGTTTAGGCTATATAGGGTTTCATTATAGCTATAGGCTGTGGTGTTGGTTAAGGGAAGCCCTTTAAGTCTGTTCAATTAATTGCCTTGGGCCAAATCTGACAAATCGACACCTCCAGCGTGATGGGCTTATCCGGAAATGACAGCCCACACCAAGAGGCGGTATTCGTACTTGGGCCTGCGCACACCAACATCGGAAGAATGCCTAAAGCCCCAACCCTAAACCGGAACCTAACACCCTCAATCCCAACACCTGAACCCTGTAAGCCGTTAACCCTGGGCCCCAACCCTCAGGGTCCAAAGGACCCAATAATTCGGTACTCGGCCCGAGGATAGTAGTTATGTAGGTTACTGTTTTGGAGAGTATATGTAATAATTTGGTACTTGGACCCTTAGGGTTCTTTTACTTCGAAACCCTAAACCCTGATAGAGAAGCCACACGAGACTCTCCCTTCACAGTCCTGGATGACAACCTCAGCTGCGGCCTTCTCTCGGAATGACGTGGAGGTAGTCATTGTGTGAAACACCTTGGTTCGGCGATTCAGTCTTTAGAACACCCTACGCCCTTAACCCGGTGCTAGGGGTTGATGGAATTTGTTGGGCTTGTGGGTCTCAGCGTTTAGAGGTTTAGGGTTTTTGCGGGCTCAGGGCGCCAATGTCATGTAGGGTTCATATGGGAGTTTCCAATAATCGGGGGTGCTTCTTTGGGGGTCCTTATACTAAGAATCCTACTATTTACGTTGTGACAAATCTGGACAGGCTGAATTTAGATTCCCCTTTCGAGGCGACACTAAATCCCTTTTGGCTCTGCTGCCCACTTGCATCTTAAAGAGCCTGCAAGCGTCAATGAAAGCATCACTGGCCTCCCGTTTGTCCCTTTCGTGTTAATATTTTCGGCCTTCAGAGCCGAGCACGGAAAGCAGCCAGCCAACTTGAGAGGACCGTCTGATCTCAACCCAGGAACCATCGGAGAGGTCACTCCTGTTCCGGAGGTCATTCGTAGCTGAGGGTCGGACATGCAAACTGCTGCACAGTACAGACAAACAGTGGCCAACATGCATGTCGGATCAACGTCTCTCAGGCTTTTGTTCTTTTCTGTTTGTTCCAGGGCTCTGAACCGCTCCTGCACGAGAGCATCGCTGCCACTCTCAGTTTGAGGATGTTGCACGGACAGCAGGCTGCAGAAGTACATCCCCGATTTTCGGAAACTCTCCAGACCCGAAACCCTTTATAGAATCATAGAACCCTTATAGATCCCTTTAAGGAACCCCTGAAAGGAAACCTAGGGTCCCCCTATTTTCGGAAACTGCCAAAAATAGGTGATGTAGGTTTAGGGGTTTAGGGGTTTCGGGGCTCAGGGTGTAGGGACTCCCGAGGCTCGAAGCCTCTAGGGTTTTAGGGTTTGGGGGTTTTGGGTTTAGGGCTGTAGGGTGTTGGGGCTTTTTCGTTGAGGGTTTTGGGGTGTAGGGCTGTAGGGTTTTAGGGTTTAGGGCTGTAGGGTTTTAGGGTTTCGGGGTCTTCAGGGTTTAGGGTTTTAAGGTGTAGTGCTTCGCGGGATGCTGGATTCCCTAGAGGTCCAAGTCCAAGGTTTTGTAGCCTTGGTGGAAGTTTTCCGCATGAGCAGGCTTCGGAGATTCATGGCTAAAGCGAGAGACCCCAAAACCCTCATTGTAAAGAGTTCAGCATTTGGATTGTAGAGGGCTCTAGACTTTAATCCTACACAGCGGGGGTCTTGGATTCCTTGTGCAGGGTCTCATCAAACCCAAAACCATCAACCCCTGCACGCTAAACCCATCAGGACTCGATTCACCGTAGTGCGATTCGCATCGGGGTTCTGCCCTGAGTGCAATGTTAACACAGGACGTGGAAACCTAAGGTATATAGGGGCCTTAACACTTCTTGGCTACATAATTGGCTAGTTGTACTTATAACAAGGAGCCCTATAAGAAAAATACAATATTGGATCTTGCGTAAGCTTCTATATTGAGCAACTACGGGCTCTCCGCCCCACTGCCTCAAAGCTTAACGACCCCAGAAGCAACTGATGTGCTGTTTTTCAAAGCTTCAGGTGTTGAGTGCTCCCGAAATGCCCTCTGCCCTACACAGCAAAATCTCAAAGCTAGACACCTAAAACCCCAAATGAGCCAGAACCCCACACCCGAAAGGCCCCAAGCTTTACCTGTGAATCCCATATCCTCTTTTGCGGGCGTATAAGCCTTCACTGCCGTAACTCTCAATCCACAAGCCACGTAAAAGGGCATAGGCTTTGGGGGTTTAGTGTGTAGGATTTTTAGGGTTCAGGCGTTTGGGTTTAGGTTTTGAAATTTTGGAGCCGCAAGGAGTCAAGGGGCTTTTGACCACTGACTCAGCAACACAGACCACACCTGGCAATGGCAGGGAATGGGGCCTGAATGGGGTTTAGAGGGCTTAGCATTATGGGTCACAGCTCAGGGTTTGGGGTAACATCTCCACAGCGGGATAGATTGCCCTAAACCCTACATCGCACGGTATGTTGATGTGCTGTGTTTCCTAGGGGAAGGGCATTCGCAATACCTCCGAGGTCCACAAACATCAGCAACAAACATAGACAAGCTCGGGGATGACGTTAAGGACAGTTGGATTTCGAGCATAGGGTTTAGGGTGGCTAAGGGAGTACCACATGCTTGTGAGTCGATCACGACTGATAAGCTGCAACGGGGGTGAACACGAGTTATAGCCTACAGCAATGCGCACGTTTACTTCAGGAGCCATAAAAATTAGAATAGGGTTTTGGGGCCCATTAATCATATTATAATTAGAATAAGTAGCCCCAGAAATGGCCCCTATGTTACATGCTTTTAGCCTTTGAGCCCTGACATGCTCAACCTTCCGACCTCAAGGATCCAAGTATCTACCTTAGCCTACCAAAACCTACTTTGCTGCAGGGTCCCTATACATTCCATTTTAGGGTTTATAATAGGAACAATAATGCTAATAACCTACAAAAACGATGGCTATGGTGGCTGAAGGTAGTCAATACTTAATTCTAAACTAAACACCACTATATACAAAACCAATGACCACTGCATAGCTCCTTACTGTAGGTATTAGCGGTAAACCCTCATCAATCTAAACCTCCAAACACATAAGTGCCCTAAGACCGCTAAACATCGCAACAACCTTGGAGACCCTAAAACACTCAGCATTTTCGGGTTCGAGGCACCTTGAATTCCGTCCTGACGACCTCGGCGTCCTGTCCGGACTTACCCGCGACGCGCTCCTCCACGACCACAGTGAAGTCCCCGCCCTGAGAGGCACTAGGGTTTTTACAACCCAAGAGCCAAGACCACTAAGGACTCATTCAAGGAGATCTTTAAGGGTTCTATGGCGGGGCCTTAAGGGTTCCTTTAAGGGGATCTATAATCCTTACTCTCTAAGGACTCATATCTTACGGCTTTTGGGCCCGCAGACCATACTAGTTAAGGCTTTGGGGGGGGGGGGGGGTGGCGGGGCGGGGTTTCGAGCCTTAGGAAAATGGTCCTGGGTAGTGTTACGGGGGATACTTCCCCAAATAATTAGAATAGCATTTCCTAACCTAGAAAGGGCCTTCTATCAATAAAGACGAAATGACTCCTAATTAACAAGGGTTTAAGGTTCATGCACGATGGAAGTATACATAGTACTAAGGAACAGGGCTGAACAAACTCTAAAATACGGTGGATGATACAAATCCTGGGGTTCCTTTAAAGGGATCTATAAGAGGGATCTACTTAGGGTTTCGGGTTTAGGCTGAGGGTCGAGGGTGTCAGTTGAGGGGGGTGCCTGGACCCAGCATCGGCTTGCTTCCCGACTTTCGGGTTTGGAAGGATTTCGATTTCATGCTGAAGATTCGTAAGGCAGCTGACAGCATGCCTAAAACCTAAACCCTAAACGCTACCATGAGGCTTTGCCCCAAATCTTAGATCCCCCCTGAAATTTCCAGATCTTTCAATCTACACTTAGTAGGAATACCGCTTGACTCATGTTTGTTTATTGCCAAAAAGATCATACCACAACCCAAGGAAACTTCATGCTCCTTCAATATAGGGATATTGGAAGGTCTTGGTGCGAAAGACCCAGGCCCCAGAACGACATAAGGTTTAATCAAATGGGAGTTAGGATAAGGGGACCCTCGGGGATATAGACCCTCTCAATAAGGCCCCTTTAAGAGAGCCAGAAGTAGGGTTCAGAAGGGGTACCCTTTAAGGGGTCTCCCTAATAATACTATATACCAAAGGAACTATGACTTTGACTCTTACCCAGACAGGGTAACCCTGCTGATTTAAGGAGTTGGGCCTTTTCAATAAACCCGTTCATCATACTGTGAAAGCTCGTAAACCCAAAACCCCTAATAGGGACCCAAAAAACACATAAGCAAAAATTAGGAGAGGGATATCCCTTATAAACCTCCTTATTTTGATGCCCAAGAATGAGGTAGGGACATCCCTATGAAATGCTTATGCTTACGTCCTTTTGGGATCTCTAACCTAAAGCCCGTAAGCCCCTGAGCTGGCAGGGCGCTTGACCAAAGCAGCCACCAAGAACATCCGCCGCGAAAGCTTTGTCGGCTTCGTCCACTGCACAAGCCATGGTGGCATATGGTGGCCATAGCACGCTCAGACACGACTTGGGACTTGGGGTTTATCGGCTCTTTGTGATGATGATACGGTGATTAGCGCTAGGCTGCTAGGCGACTCTCTCCGACGAGAGCATCAGGGTTGTGAAGACGTGCTATCACATTTAGACACAACTCTAAGCCTCAAGGACAAACTCGAATTTGAAGCATAAACCCCTCAAGTTCACGCACCTTGCATGATGAGTTTCGTGGTTCACTATGTCGCCGTAGTCAGGACACTGAAGCCGAGAAGGGAGCTGCACGAAAGAGACAGCATGGACTCACACGGAAGCCTATACCAGCTTCACTTTGCAGGCTTCCGTGAGCCTCCGAAACCTTCGCTATTGTTTACTGCTGTAGGGTTTAGGATTCTACGGTTTAGGGCTCTAGGGCTCTCGGCTTAGATACTGCAGCGTTGCCCACAATCATTATATTCAAAGGCCGGTCAGCGATGTATCGCCGAAGATTCACAGCCCAACGTCGTGCATGCTTCTTGACGCTGCTTTCTAGATGAACGTCTTCAAGCGACAATCACACTTATATCACCCGCAAAGGTATCATCCTCTTTCACTTCAGGGTAGAAGCCCCAGGCACCCAAATCCGACGCTCTCCTTATGCGCTAAACTCACTAAACCTCAAAGGTACTATCTAGGAAACCCGTAGGGGCCAATGTGCATATTAATTATGATGCTTCTGTAATCCAAGTATATGACTTTTAGGGATGTGATGTAATTAGACAAATCCCCCTTCCTTGTGGCCGAGGGGCCCATCCTTGTCACCTTGCTCTGCGGCCTTGAGGAAATACTCGGCCGCCTCGAAAAACGTGCTGAGACCAGGTGTCGGGCAAGGATGTATTACTTTGTCGTGTGAGGGTTACCTGTAGGGTACCGTTGCTTCAACAGTGCAGCGAAGTGCCGATAGCACAGTATCCCACTGTAAAGGCAACTGTGCTCACAAGCTTTTAGAACGGTTTCCAATTTAAATTGTAACCGCCCTGGTTGCGGAGCTCCCACTCAAGCCAGCAATACCACAGCAAACATTCCAAACACCATCAACAGCAGGACCCCTTACCCCGCTGCACACACCGGACCTAACACACACACACACACAAACACACTTACACAAACCTTAAACCATCATCAGGATGAGCCACATGTCAAGACAAGTTGACCTAGACGTGTCTGACAGGAAAGGCCATCAGTCTCACTGCCGACGTAACGCATTGCAGAACAGGCTGAAACAGCAAGAAAGCTCGCAAACATGCTCGACCCGCAGCCACAAAAAGCCCCGAAACCCAATGACGCCGAAGCCCGAACCCCCTTAAGTCGAAACCTTGATGTCGAAAAGTCCGAAAGCTCAAACTCCACCAACCTAAGACCCCAAAATGTTGAGAACACGACATACTTTCCTCAATCCTCAAAACTATCCGGAACGGAGCCTGCAAAGAACGCAGACCTCAATTGAACCCGTAGATTGACACAGCGTCTCACATGTCCCTACAGCATTACACATTCTGGGATACTGAGTCATGGTTTCAGTCCCTTAATTCACGAACTCAAACAACGAACCTGATTTAACATATATTCCTCACTTATTCCAACGGATTTCAGAAGAAGATTGGTTAGGGCAGGGTTCAAGGATGTCGCATGCCCTGAAGTGTAAAGGAGGAAGACATTACGAGATCGATCGTTTGAGGCATTTTAACCTAAGGGTCCATGTACCCAAATAGTATATACTTTGGCCCCAGTGTACCTATATAGGGACTACTTTAAGGCCAATGTATATACTATTTAGGTACATGGATCCTCAGGGTTAGGGCTTTGGGCTTGGGGCTCTCCGGCCTTGTCAGGATCTGCCTCCACAACGTCTCCTGGCGGATTCGAGCGCTACTGTTGATGATATAAATCCTGCATTACCTTAAAGGACCCTAAACTTTGGGAATTATGGTATATTCCTTATTATGGGTCATGCAGGATTTATATCATCAACCGTAATACTTAAGTAGCTGGAGCCCCCAGGGGCTCAGATTCCGGGGTGTGCCAGGACCCCGCAAGGGCCCTTTAATAACTTTTCGCCGCCCCCCCCCCCCCCCCCCCCCCCCAATTTGCCCGCACCCATTTGCAAGCTTGCTTGTTTCCCGGTCGTCTCCCCAAGAGCTCAGTCCAGGATCCACCTGCATTTGTCATGCGAGAAGGCATCCTTGGGGGCCATCTGAACTGTACCATTCGAACAGTCCAACCTGTACTCCTTGAGAGCTTCCAGAACACGATCAAAGCCGCACTGCCTATGCAGTGCAGCTGAAGCCATGGCTTGCACGTTTTTCTGCAGTCCCATGGAACGAGTTCTTCCCAAATTCCCCATTCGTCGCATCACTTTCTTGATGCACCCCACTGTGTTTTCGGCAGAGTTGTCGCCTGCAGCTACTTTAAAGTAACGTGTAGTCTCAGCAACTGCAGCTTTCGTGGAACCCTTGCTCTTGCACTTCTTCTCGAACATTCGCTTCGTCCTAGCATCCAAGCTACTCTTCAGGACTCTTGCAATGGGCGTGAACACTTTCTTCATGTGGTTGACCCCAGGTAAACTCGGCTTACCTGCATCACGGAGTGCTCCATGAAATGCCCGACTGCCATCTGGAGCTCCAACAGTGCCTGCGCCCATGGCATCCTTGATTGGCTGATCCACTTCAGCCCTGGACTCGGCTCCCATGCCTCTACCAGGCTTGGACACAGTGTTTGGCAATGCTCTGGCGATCCACTTCTTGGTAAATCTTCCTTTCAAGACCAGAGTCCGGCCCAGATGGATGATGGATTTTCTGCATTGCAGTCTTGGCAACACCCATTCGACCAGAATCCGGCTCTACTATCCCTGCCCTTGAACAAGATGGGGTTGTAGACAGTGTAGGGTTGTGGGCAAATAGGGGGGGGGTGAGGGTAACTTTAATAGAGTCCTTATGGCCCTAAATAGTGGGTATTTGGGGGATATGAGAGGCCACTTGGGGGGTCTAGAACCCAAAAGGTTTTTGTGGGTTTACACTTCCGGCCGAGCCGCCACCAGCGAAAACGACACCGGGCCACAGTTGCAGTAATACCTTTGAAACATCCAAAGGGTCCTAGGTACTCTTATGATTCTGGGGGATACTTCCCATAATCACGATCGCAATTGCTAGTAAATCTAGATCTAGTATATAGCTCCTTTCAACCCCTAGGGACATCAGGAAGTCATGGATGTTTGCTGCAAGCCCACACCCTGATACCCTAAACCTGCAGGCCTGTAGACCCACCATAAAACACAAGGAAGAGAATAGGCATTCACCTAAACCCTACTTACACCCACCAACTGCCCTCTGTGATACCCCAAATAACCCACCATGGACTCCATTAAGAGGCTAAGCGGCGAAACCCTAGACCCCCAAATTTCAAACCTAAACCCCAAACCCCAAATCCAAAACCCCAACCCCAACCCCAAACCCTAAACCCAAGTAGCCCTGAAGCCCAACCTCAAAACCAAGACCCCAAAACTCTAAACCCCAAACCCTACAACCCTAAAACAGTAAACCCCTATGATAACCCTTTACTCCATGCCTTCCAGCGGCAACTAGCTCCCTAAAACCTTACAACCCTACAGCCTAAGCCCCTATAACCCTAAACTCTCTATATAAAAAACCCTAAACCCCTATAAGGACCCTAAACTCTATATCAAAACCCTAAACCCTATAAGGACCCTTAACTCTATATAAAAAACCCTAAACCCCTATAAGCACCCTAAACCCCAGGCCTTCCAGCAGCATGCGGCCGAGAATTGTCATGGACTCCGCATCTCCTCTCGCAGCTGCCTCGAGGTGAGGGCTCGGGATGGTGGGAGTTGGGGAGTAAGACGTGTACCCTAAGGGTCCAAACTGTTGATGGACAAAATCCTGCATTACCCCAAGGACCCTAAACTGTGGGAATCATGGTATATTCCTTATACTGGGTCATGCAGGATATTGTCCATCCACAGAAGGACCCAATAATTAGGTACTTAGGTTCAGCCTGCATAACAACTAACCAGCTGGGAGAGTATATGATAATTAGGTTCTTGGACCCTTAGGGGTAGGTCTTGGGGGGGGATATATTTGCCTTTGGATGTGGCCTATATGAACTGCATGGACCCTTAACCGTGAACTAAAGCCTTATTTAGCCCCTTTTCATTCGCGGATCGACTGGGTTTTAGGGGTCCAGAACTGGGAAGCCAGAACTCACCATCGGCTACGGAAAAAACGAAGATAGTCTGATTATGTCAGATCTTGCATTGGGGAGGGGTTTTTGAAAGTTCGGGTACCAAAACCCTAAACCCATTCAAATTTAGGGGTCCTGTGCAAAGCATCCTGTTGTTTGGGGTCTGTATTGAAGCTCCTAACATAGGAGCCTTTTAACTAGAACTGGGTTTTGGGGCCCAGTATACTATGATTCTAATAAGGAGCCCCCACAATAGTATAGGTAATTACTTAGGCCCCTGTATTATCTACATCGCTTCTTCTGAAGCTCCTTAGGGAGGCAACATGACTGCCCCTATTACAACGTCTCACACCTACACGCACCAATCTTCACAGCAAATACAACTCACTGTAGTATAACTATACTGAAAACCTCCAAAATGCTCATGAAACCATCCTGAATGCCATGTCTGCAATTATTATCAACGCCCTTATAACAAACCCCTTGCCGCCCCCCCGCCCTAACCCCAGATACCCAGTATCGCCCTGCAAAGCCCCAAAACGAATCAGGTGAGAGGACCTGTCCCCTCAAACCCTTTAGCCCTAAACCTTACACCCTTAAGCCCCCAAAAAGTTAAACGCTAAACCCCCAACCCCTAAACCCTAAACCTTAAACCCCGAACCCCACACCCCACAAACCTCCTGAAGGATCTGCAGCTCCTCTTCTGAGAGCACCGGTGAACCTGGCAATTTAGGTTTTTTCGGGTTTAGGGTCTTGTTTTC